GTCACTGTTGGTTTTGGCTTCTCTGGTTGATTTGGGATTCTTTTCACAGCTTCAGCATAAGTTATCCCTTGAGCGAGTTTCACTTTTTGGATTTCCTCTGCTCTTTTACTGTATTGACATCCACGGTAAGCAGAAGTGTGTTCTTCTCCACAGTTACAACATTTAATTTTTGCCTCTTTTTCACATTTCCCATATTCATGTTCACCCGCACATCTTCCACATCGTTGTTTTCCTTTACAGATTGCTGCTACATGTCCAAATTTCTGGCATTTAAAACACCTTAACGGAGGAGGAATGTATTGTTTCACATCATAGCTCATATAGCCTATGTAGACTTTACTTGGTAAACATTCACCTTCAAATTTAATCAAGACTGACAAGCTGTTACATCGTTCTCCATTTCTTGTTGTTTGCAGACGTTTAATTTCTTTCACTTTTGCTCCACGTATGTTTGCTTGAATTTCTTCATTTGAGATTTTTAAAGGGACTCCACTAATGACTCCTCTACCCATTTTTTTGTTTTCAACCAGACTGCTCTGAACTTTCTTTCCTTCCATTTTGTGAATCTTAATTGCCTTTCCTTGTTGAATGCTGTCTCTGCAATGAACAAAAAGTGCTCCGCTTCGTAAAACCTTAGCGCTAAGGACTTCACCTATTAGTTTATTTATTGTTTTGGTTAATTGTATTGGGTTCCATTCACCAAAAGATTCTCCCTCTTGATTTAATTTAATAATAACTTTATACTCATCTTTTGGTTTCTTAGTTACTAGTTCATTTTCCTCATCCTTTTCTGGGTTAGAAATATCTTCAGCTGATGTCTGCTTTTTACGCTTTTTTCTGCTTTTTGAAGCAGCTAACTTACTCCAATCTTCTTCATTTCCGCCACTATTTTCTTCCATTTCATCAAACTCACTTCCTGATCCAGAACTTCCCTCTGCAACCTCCTGCCCATTCACAGCCCAGCCGCTGCCAACCGCCTTACCAAATTGCTGACTCATCTTTTCTCTCTCCGTCATCCATCCGCTCGCCCGAGACCGTGGTCCATCCATCTAAAAAAACTACCTCCAAGGTGTTGGTTCTATTAAAACAGCTGGATTTAAGGTGGGATCATCTGACAGATCGCTCACAGGTGGATCTTATCCAGCTGATTAACTGCCTTAGAGGAAACCGGTTGGAGCTTCAAAGAAAAGCTGAATTCATCTGCACACGTAATAGTTTATGTTTTTGGGTTTTTTTTTTAGTAATATTTACATATTTTGCAACATTTGATTAATTAAACTGAAGATGTTATAATCTACAGGTGCATTTAAAACAATTTGAATTTCCTGAAAAATTTCTAAGTCAACCATTTCAGAAAGTGAAACTTATTAAATCTGAGTTTCACTTTCTGAAATGATGATTTATTTTAACTTTTTCTCGATTTTCTAATTATTTTAGATGCATCTGTAATTAAAAATCCATTTAAATTCAAGATAATGAGTCAACACTATGGATTACCAAGTGGAGGTGAGTACTTTTACAACTCAGACAACTTTGGTCTTTACACATTTTTGTACAAGGCTTTTATTTTTTCCCAGATATTTTTCTTACCTTTTTTATTATTTCTCTGAAATAGTTTGATCTTTTACTGATTTCTTAATTTTGAGACATAATCATTCAAATGACAGGTTTATATCTTTCACAAATTACCAGATTGAGTACTTTCCATAAACGTAAAGCCTACAATGTCTAAATTCAATAATAACTAGAGAAATGGCATTTCCTGCAAAAATGCAGTGTGAATGCTTATTGGGAAAAACTTGCTGAAAAACAGCTGAAATTAGCTTAAAAAGCATGCTAAAATGTAGCTGAAATGGAAGAGCAAGCGAGCAGAAGAAAGCAGAAAAAGACATATATTTGCTCAATTAGGTTTAAGTAGCACAGAAATTAGGAATTTAGCTTAAAAAGAACTGAAATTAGCAAAGAATAGCTGACAGTAGCTGAAAAGGTGGAAAGAAGATTAAACTACCAAAAGGAAGCAGGAGCTGAAATGAGCTAAAAAATGTGGAAATAGCTGAAAAGGCTAAATTAGCATAAAACAGATACTGTAGCACAAAAAGCCGAAACTAGCAGAAAAAAAGCTGAAATTAACAGAAAGAAGCTGAAAGGAGCAGAAATTAACAGAAAAACTTGAATTTATCTGAAAACGGCTGAAATTGGCTAAAAAAAAATAATACTAAAAGTAGCTGAAAAGGTAGAACAAGCTTAAATTAGCAGAATAAAACAGAAAGAACACCCAATTAGGCTGAAAGAAGCAGAAGCACAAAAAAAATCTGGAAAAAGCTTAAATTAGAGAGAAAAAACAAACAAACTGAAAAGTAGCTTTAAAATGCACAAAGCTGAAAATTACCTGAACAAAGTAGAGCACATTTTTGCTGAATTAGGCTGAAAAAAATTTAAATGTGCAAAAAATGTGGAATTTGCTGAAAATGCTAAAATAAGCATAAACAGCTACAAGCTGAAATAGCAGAAAAAGCTAAAATCTTCAATAATAAGTTGAAAGAAGCAAGCTTAACCCAAAAATATCTGAAATGAGCACAAAACAGCTGGAAAAAAAACAGCTGAATAAAGTTTAAATTCGCACAAAGCTGAACCAGAACAAAATGTGAAAGGAGCAGTAAAAGGTTGTAAACCTATCTAAAGATGTGAAGGATGTAAAATGAGCTTAAATCATTTTCTGAGGGAAAAAAAAACATGGCAGAAGAGGTTAAATATTTCAAAAACCTCATGAATGCACCAGGATTGTTCTGAAAGAGCTGAACGTTTTGATATAATTTCTTGAGATAGCTTAAAAACTGTAGGACACGAATCACACCAAAAAAATATATAAAAACAAAAAAAGTGGGTCGCAAAAGTGAGAATGCTTCATAAACATTCACAAAATAAAAATTTTTTAACATTTGTTTTTAATCTTGTCAAAAACTTTCAGGTATAAACTTATCACAAGAGCTACATTGAATTTCACACAAAACATGCGTATGGCTTTTTTTTTTTTCTTTTTTAATATTTTATTCAAAGAAAAAAAAAAACAGAATTTCAAACCATCTGCATCAAAGTTCCTCTGGTGATGAAGTCTCCCCACCTTGCCTTCACAACCCTTCCTGCCTGGGGGAGTAAAGTTCACAGTCTCTTGCACACAAAATGAATACTTTCACAGCTGGTCAAGATAAAGTCTAATACAGGTAAATATTTAAAAGGATAGGTTTGATATTTTTATTGCATGCATCTCTGGGAATGAACACATACAGAAATTCATTTTTATTTTAAGCTGCTTGTAAAATTCCTGATTTCAGATCCTGGAAATAAACCTCATGAGTGGCAGTGGAGACCGCTGCCTGCCACCCAGTCCTATTCAAGCTTTAACCAGATTTAATTTGACCCATCAGCTTAAACTTGATTAGTTCCAGCTATCGTCAAACTATGCAGGCTGTCTCATGTTTGGGGACTTCACAGAACAAACAGAAAGAAAAGCTTTAAAAGAAAAACTGAAATACGCTGGGAGGAGCTTTTGACAAAGTGCTGCAGGACAGAAATATTGGCTTTAAAATCTTTTTTATCAGCAAAAACTCAGTAGTTCCCAACCATGGTCCTTGAGGAACGCCATCCTGCATGTTTTTTTTTTTTTTTCTCTGCTCCCAACACTCCTGATTCAGACATTTTATTACTTCCTGAAGTTCTGCCAAAGCCTGTTGAGCACCCTTTCATTCAAATCAGGTGTGTCAAAGCAGGAAAACAACTAAAATATGCAGGGTGGTGTTCCTCAAAGAGCAGTGTTGGGACCCACTAGTTTCTATATCTTAACATTACAAAATGTTTACATATTCAAACACACTGAGCACAACATATACAAGAAAGGCAGTAAAAATGTCAATTGTGTGTTTAGGTCATTTTATAATTTCACGATTGCAGCTCTTATAGTAGAGGCTGTGCATGATTCAAATGTACAGAAATGTGTTGCGCTTCTTTCCCCACATCTAAACAGTTAAACGAGTCTGAATGCCCTGAATACAAATATAAAAATTAAAAATAAAGATTCGATGTAAAACTTGGGTGTCCTTCTCCTTCCTACTGCTAACACAAAATAGCCGAAAGTGCCACAAAACGTTTAAAACTGTCCTGCACGGAGCAAATATGAGCAAAACGACGCCCTTTATTAAATGAAACAAAGCAGAGCTGGATCACGCTAACAAAAACAACTTCATATTTAATGAAAACGCAGACGGTAAAACATGAAACACATTCTGGCTCTAATCAAAACTACTCGATCGCTAACAAGAATGGCAACAAGTGAAAATAGCCAAATAAAGCAAAACAAACTCTTTTAATTTGCTGGTAATGAGTGTGATTTCAGCCGTTGCCTTGGTTACCAGCTGCTCCTAAAACTTCCGAACACATCGTGTGCACGTAAAACTTCATATCCTGAAAACTGAAGGCAAAAGCTGAAAGTAGTGGCAGTAAATTTTGGCCCAGCAGTGGAGAAAACGAAACAAACATAATAAATTTTAAAATAAATTTTAGCTAAAAAATATAGCTTTTCAATAGAAAATTTACAAATAGTGCGTTAATCCAGAGTATAAAGAAGTACAACCCTAATCCTGCTGAGTTTGGCTTCAATTTTTTTTCTCTGCCTCCACACAACAATTAAGTTTTGAAAACAAAAACTACCGTTAGTACTACAAGTCCACGGACCAGAAATTTACTTTGTTTTACCAAACCTCCGCTGCTTAAGATTGTTTTATTAGAATAGTTTCCAAAACAGGAGCAACAGGTAAAAACATTAAAGGACGACGTTTACACGCAAAATATTTTGAACTCTTGAGTAAAACTGTCGGGCTTTTGGAATATAAAACTATCGCTTCCACGTCGGCAGCCATTTTATTCCCCACACAAAACCCGTAAACGACAATGTACAGGTTCAAAATGTTTTCAGTTTAGAGTTGCATTCTATTCCCCCCCCCCGCCCCAAGAGCATATTTTCCAGATAAAACTTCCACAATTTGACAAAAACAACAAATGTAATAAAAAAAAAAAAGTGTATAAAGCAGATTGTCCAAGTGAATCGGTGTAAAAGACAATGCAGTTTGACGACACGAGCGAGCCGCTGTCCATTCGCCTCCCCGTTCTCACACGTGGAAGCCCAGTTTGAGTCCATTTTGATCCAGATGGTTTGAAAGTGAACAAAATTACATTCGTACAAAACCAAAAAAAAAAAAAAAAAAAGAACATCGAAGACGGAAAAATGAAGCTTTAATCGTTCCAAAAGCCACCGGTCTGTTCTTGATACACTTCGATGACATCTTCGTCCTCCATCCCCAGCTGTTGACGACAGAGAGAAGACAAATGAGTTGTAATAAAGTTAGGATTATTAAATTTAAGATTTTGATACCTTTTACTTTAATATTCTCCCTACTAATCTTCTTTTGACTTTTCCCTCTTCAGGGGTCTCCACATCGAGTCATCCTCCTCCATCTCACTCTGTCCTCACTCCAACTACCTCCATGTCCTCTCTAACTGCATCCATATATCTCCTCTGTCTTTTTCCTGGCAGCTGCATTTCTAACATCTTTCTACCAATATACCCACTGTCCCTCCTCTGGACATGTCCAAACCATCTCAGTCTGGTCTCTCTAACTTTATCTCCCAGTTGTTCAACCTGTGACCTCTGATCTCATTCCTAATCTTATCCATCCTTGTCACTCCTAAGGAGAACCTAAACATCTTCATTCCTGCCACTTCCAGTTCTTTCTCCTTTTTGTCAATACCACTGTCTCCAGAGCAAACGAGAAGGGGCTCAGAGCCGATCCTTGATGCACTCCCACCTCCACCGTGAAGCTATCTGTCCCTCTTACAGCACATCTCACCACTGTCCTGCTGTCCTCATACATGTCATGTACCAGTCTAACATACTTCTCTGCCACTCCACACCTCCTCCCTCGGTACCCTGTCATATTTTTTTTTTTTTTTTTTTTTTTTTCATTTAGCCTTTATTTATCCAGGTTAGTCTCATTGAGCCACGAGAACTCATTTTCAAGAGAGACCTGTTTAGGGAGCACATGGTGGGGGTTAAGGGCCTTGCTCATGGGCCCAGAGTGGGGCGAATGAGGGTGGGGGCAAGTGTGGGTGTTTCACCTACCCCACCCACAATTTTGATGTTGTCGGGGCCGGGGCGTGAACCGGCGATCTTCGGATCACAAGCCCACCTCTCTAACCTCTGCGCCACCACTCCCCCTAAATATATAGTCATATGCTTTTTATAAATCCACAAAAGACACAAAGGAGTTCTTTCTGACCCTCTCTGTACTTCATCAGCGTCCTCAAAACAAAAAATGGCATCTGTGGTACTCTTTCTTGACATGAAACCATACTGCTGCTCACAGATAGTCACCTCGTCTAAGTCTTGCTTCCACAACTCTCCCAGATCTTCATCATGTCATCAACTTAATTTCCCTGTAGTTGCTACAACTCTGTACATCACACTTGTTCTTATAAATGGACACCAGCACACTTCTCCTCCGCTCCTCAGGCATTTTCTCACCCTCAAATATGCCATTGAATATTTGAGTCAAAAACCTCTCTACCATCTCTCCAAGACATTTCCAAAGCTCCGCTGTACATCATCAGGTCCTACTGCCTTCCCCGTCTTCATTCTTCTTGGAGCTTTCCAGACTTCACCCTCACTAATCTTTCCTACTTCCTGGTCCACAGTTTCTATGACCTTTAACTCTTCTTTCTCTTTCATTCATTAACTCCTTAAAGTACTTCTTCCATCTTCCCGTCACACTTTTTCATTCAACCTTTATTTAGACAGGTAAATCCCATTGAGCCCCGAGGACTCATTTACAAGAGAGACCTGATTTCAACAAAGAATGATGACAACAATGAACAGCAACAATGGACAGTTATAAAAAGGCATAGAATTTTTTTTTTTAAACAAATAGGATGGCTAAAAAAAAAGAATAACAAAAAACAGCTAAATTCAAAGGCGAATGTAGAAAACTAAAACCAGGAACATGTCTGCATTGGTCCCTGCCCAGAGTCCAACAGATTCAGACACACTCCTCACTTGTTAGAACATTACCATTCCTATCTTTAACAAGCTTAATCTGCTGCGCATACTTTTTAGGCTCATCCCTCTATCGCAAATACCGTATTTTCCAGCGTATAAGTCAAAAAAGCATCATGAAGAGGACAAAAAAAATAATATGTATAAGTCGCATTTTTTGTGTGTCACCGCTGATCCGTCACGTTTATTATGCGTTTATTTAATGGTCAAAACAGCTTCACTTTGCCTGAGTGGCGCGGCACCATCCATCCACCGTGGCCGGAGCCGCTAGCTCTCCAGCGTTCTTCCACCTGCACCAGCTGAGTGACGCAAGTGCACACGGGAGGACTCGCTGTTGCAGTTCTTCGACATTTATAACAGTCAAAATTTGCATTATGAATATGGGGGGGGGGAAACGTATACAAGTTGCAGGACTGACAAATATTAGCAAAAAACTGCAACTTGTACACCAGAAAATACGGTATGTAGAAGTCCTTCTTGCCATCTTTAGTGTCCAGCCTCCCATACAATTCAGTTTATTTCTATAGCACCAAGTCACAACACAAGTCATCTCGGGCATTGAAAAGAAACATTCGTATATAAAAATAACAATTTAACATTGTTTATCTGAGGAGCAGACTGCTTTGAGTTTAACTCCATCACAGAACTCATCTTGAACAAGCATGAAGGCGACAGTGGAAAGGAAAAACTCCCTCCTGAGGAAGAAACCTTTAGCAGAACCAGTTCAGGACAAGTGGCCATCTGCTTCGACCGGCTGGGTTTGAGAGGAACAGATACACAATGGCAGGTCGAGAATCACATGTTAAATGAAAACTATTCAATTTTAGCAAATAATTTAAGGAAATTAGATCAATTTGTCCTCTAGTAGTCTAAGCCTATGGCAGCATAACAAGCCAACCCTAACTATAGGATTTATCACAAAGGAAAGTCTTAATCCCAGTCTTAACTGGACAATGTGTCACGGACAGAAACTGGAAGTTGGTTCCACAAGAGAGGAGCCTGATAACTGAAAGAAATTCCTCCCATTCTGCTTTTGGAAACTCTAGGGACCACGAGTAAACCTGCAGTCTGAGAGCAAAGTGTTCTGTTAGGAAAATATGGAACAATAAGATCTTGAATACAAGATGGAGCTAGGTTGTTGACAGCTTTGTAGGTTAGAAGTAAGATTTTGAATTAAATTCTGGATTTGACAGGGAGTCAATGGAGAGAAGCTAAAACTGGAGAGATATGATCTTTCCCACTAACTCCAGTTAAGACTCTGGCAGCAACATTTTGGATCAACTGAAGACTTTAAAGAACAACTCATCACACCCGTTCCGCTTTGCTTTAGCTACTTCCCTTTTTGCTCTACAGCTCATTTCCTTATATTCCTGTCTCCTCTCATCGTCATATTTCTTCTTGACTAACCTCGTTCGTTGCAACAGCTTCCTGCACTTCACTATTTCACCACCAGGCTTCCTCATCATCGTTTCTCTGTCCAGATGACACACCAAGTACCTTCCTACCTGTGTCTCTACTGTTATTACAGTAACCTGTAATTTACTACAGTACTGTTTCTGGACCAGTCATCTGAATTCTCTTTCTTAGCACCCAGATACTTTTAACAGCTCCTTTCTGAATTTCTCAACTTTCTTCCTTCTGCAGCTTCCACCATTTGGTCTTCTCTGATTTTCCTTTTCCTCTTCTTCACAACAGTCCTTCTACACACAACCATCCGATGCTGTCTGGTGACACTCTCCCCTGCCACAACCTTACAGTCTCCAATCTCACTCAGGTTTCCTCTTCTACACAGGACGTAGTTGACCTGTGTACTCCTTCTTCCACTCTTATAGATCACTCTGTTCCTTCCTCTTTTTTGTAAATAAGAGTTGACTACAGCCATTTCCATGCTCTTGGCAAAATCCACCACCATCCTTCCTGGTTTCTTTCTACCTTCCTTCTCTGCATCATGTCAGTCAGCTCTCTACCTTTGCCTGTCATTGTCCCCACATTTAGAGTTGCCACCCTCAGTCCGACATTCTTAACTTTCCTCTTGTCCCTCTGTCTCCTGACGCGTTTCCCTCCTCGTGGTCTTTGACCAACAGTAGCAGAATTTCTGCCGGCACACGGTGTGTCAACAGCAATGGTTGCAGTCATTGTTAATCCGGGCCTCGACTGATCCGGTATGGTGTCGCTTAGATGAACTTGCATATTTAGTTTTGACAAGTGTTTCACGTCAGATGTTCTTTCTGACAAAACTCTCACCATTAAATCAGGCTTGAGACCAGTACAAGAGATGCACTGGCTTGTGCTCTCTAGTGGCTGGTTTATTCTTCCTACTACGGATACGCTGCAGAAATCAGATGTAAACAAAAGCTTTCTGTGCTGCTAGTGTTCTTTTTTAGTTCATTTTTATTCATGAAAATTTTTCAAAATGTGTTCTTCTTTTAGGATTGCACAGATGCAGCAGTATAAACTAATCTAAACTCTTAAAACGTAATAACCATGATTTATAAAATACACATGAGTTTTGTGTTTAGAGTGAAAAGTAGCCATGTATGAGTGAGGTCTGTGTGTACAAAAGAAGCAAGTCTCGCTGTGCGTCTGTGTCAACATGATGGAGTGAAGAACAATGAGCGTTTACCTCTTTTGGAGTTTGGTTGTCTGCAATTCTCTGTCCCTCAAACAGAAACCTTAGCGTGCTTGCAGGAACGCCCTGCAACAAAGACAAAAATAATTATCAGAATTATCACAACTTAAGGACACACTTCCTTGTGCTCAAGATGGAGCCTCTATCCTGAACGTTTTGGTCGTTTCCCTGCTCTTCAGAAGGTCTTTAAGTTCTGTAAAGCCTGTTAATCATGCACGCATTCACAACAAGTGTTGAAGCAGAGAAACATCTAAAACATGCAGGATCATGCCCCCCCGCCCCCAGGACAAGGATTCAGAACCACTGATCTAGACTTTTAAAGGAATAAATCTGCTACAAGACGTAACGGCCGATAATTTCCCTTCGTCCTCGTACCTGTCGCTGGCTGTAAGACTCTTTCAGCTTCTTTAGATGCGTCGTCATTTTCACCTTAAAGTGGATTTCACTGCTGTCCTGTGACAAAAAGCGTTGAATTGTTCGTGTGAAAACAAAAAAGGCATTTACGTTTACATAGAAAAATCATTATTGTTGTAAGGCTTTTAAGAAGGGTGACAACAGTATGCAGCGGTTTAGTCCAAAAATAATGCAACATAGTTAGTATGAACTACGCTACTCCTAGAAATCCAAATTTGCCTTCGCAAACATATAAAAAGTCAGCTTAAATGAATGTTTTAAACAAAATGCTTCCAGCAAAATGTCATTGTTGTGCTAACAAACCACAAACGTTTATGCATGTAATGCAAGCATGTGTAATGTATAATAACAGGATTATTGAAAGTGGGTGCATACTTGCTAACAGACATGTAACACATCATTTTATTAAGACACATATTCCGCCCCCTCCTTAAAACCTACCTGACCGATCACTTTTAATTTGATATATTCTCCGTCTTTCTTATCGCCTCCATCTTGACTTGACGGTTTTGTCTCCTATAAAAACAAAAACAAATGTTCTAAACAGAACAACGCACACACATTTGGGGCCTGAGGGGTATAGTTTCTCGATTTCCCCAACCGTGTTACTCTAAAAACTAAAATGATTTTGCATCTTAATGTTGTGAGACGCGGTTACTGTTAAGTGTTACCTGGAATAAAAGCAAAGCTAATCGCTAAAAGGTAAATAAGCTAGGGCCTAAAGCTACATCGGCTAACGGTGTTAGCACGAAGCCATGAGCGATGAAGCCACAAAAACACCAATTTGTACTTTTTAAATTTGTTCTCACAGAATAATTATTATTCGAAAGCATTTATGTCTTACCGTGTCTGACATATTTCCTTTTTTTTCTGACTTGTGTGAAATTTCCTAACAATAGATGTAGCGTTAGCTCAGTTGCACCTCTCGTCTGATGTTATGAGGAATCGACATTAGCCGGAAGTGACGGACCGGAAGGTGTTTCAAAGTAAAAGTCACATTGGAATAAACAAGCCCGAACTTACGCTAAAAGCAATGTCTCTATCAGTTTTGCCCATTCTTTCTTGCAAAACAGCTCGAGCTCAGTGAGGTTGGATGGAGAGCGTTTGTGAACAGCAGTCTTCAGCTCTTTCCGCAGATTCTCGATTGGATTCAGGTCTGGACTTTGACTTGGCCATTCCAACACCTGGATATGTTTATTTGTGAACTATTCCATTGTAGATTTGGCTTTATGTTTTGGATCATTGTCTTGTTGGAAGATAAATCTCCGTCCCAGTCTCGGGTCTCTTGCAGACTCAAACAGGTTTTCTTCCAGAATGGTCCTGTATTTGGCCCCATCCATCTTCCCATCAATTCTGACCATCTTCCCTGTCCCTGCTGATGAAAAGCAGGCCCAAACCATGATGCTGCAACCACCATGTTTGACAGTGGGGATGGTGTGTTCAGGGTGATGAGCTGTGTTGCTTTTACTCCAAACATATCGTTTTGCATTGTGGCCAAACAGTTGGATTTTGGTTTCATCTGACCAGAGCACCTTCTTCCACATGTTTGGTGTGTCTCCCAGGTGCTTGTGGCAAACTTTAAACAACACTTTTTATGGAGATCTTTGAGAAATGGCTTTCTTCTTGCCACTCTTCCATAAAGGCCACATTTGTGCAGTGTACAACTGATTGTTGTCCTATGGACAGACTCTCCCACCTCAGCTGTAGATCTCTGCAGTTCATCCAGAGTGATCATGGGCCTCTTGGCTGCATCTCTGATCAGTCTTCTCCTTGTTCCAGATGAAAGTTTAGAGGGACGGACGGGTCTTGGTAGATTTGCAGTGGTCTGATACTCCTTCCATTTCAATATGATTGCTTGCACAGTGCTCCTTGGGATGTTTAAAGCTTGGGAAATCTTTTTGTATCCAAATCCGGCATTAAACTTCTCCACAATGGTATCTCGGACCTGCCTGGTTTGTTCCTTGGTCTTCATGATGCTCTCTGAGCTTTGAACAGAACCCTGAGACTATCACAGAGCAGGTGCATTTATACAGAGACTTGATTACACTCAGGTGGATTCTATTTATCATCAGTCATTTGGGACAACATTGGATCATTCATAGATCTTCACTGAACTTCTGGAGTGAGTTTGCTGCACTGAAAGTAAAAGGGCCGAATAATATTGCACGCCCAGACAGATGGACACCATCTCTGACGTTTAGACGGATCAAGTCAAGTCACATTTATTTATATAGCACATTTAAAACAGTAACTGTTATCAAAGTGCTTACCAAAAATAATCACAGCATCAAATATTAATAACAACATAGTACAGCAACATGAATAAAAGCATAAAAACATGAAATATAATGAGAAAGAATGAAATACTAAATCAAATCACCCTGCGTTAAATGTCAGGGAGTAAAAGCAAAATGGATGAACACAATCAACAATGAAATACCAAATGAGATCACACTGTGTTAAATGCCAATGAGTACAGATGTGTTTTGAGGAGAGATTTAAAAATAGAGACTGAGGTGGCCTGTCGAATGTTGATGGGCAGATTATTCCAGAGTTTAGGGCCCATGACTGAAAACGCCCGATCTCCTCTGAGCTTCAGCCTGGTTTTAGGTACGGCCAAAAGCAGCTGGTCTGATGATCTCAAGGCCCGAGAAGGAGCATAAGGATGAAAGAGGTCGGAGAGGTATGAGGGTGCGAGGCCATTAACACCCTTAAATGTCAGCAGAAGAATCTTAGAATCAACTGTGACACGCACAGGAAACCAGTGAAGAGAGGACAGAACCGGAGTAATGTGCTCAAACCTGCGAGTTCCTGTTAGTAGCCGAGCTGCAGCATTTTGGACAAGCTGGAGACGTGAGAGAGAGACCTGACTGACCCCAGCATAAAGCGAGTTACAGTAGTCCAGCCGGGTTGTAATAAATGCATGGACTCATTTATCAAGGTCGGATCTGGACAGGACGGACTTGAGCTTAGCTATCTGCCTTAGCTGAAAGAAGCTTTTTTTGAAGAACAGAATTTATCTGCTTATTAAACTTAAAGTCCGAGTCTAAAACTATCACTATCATCACTGATGTTGAGACGCATGGACGTCATCTTCTCTTTTAAATGTGCTTTATAAATAAAGCTGATTTGACCTTTTTTGATCTTGTCCATGAAATGGCTCTAAAACATTAAAAATTTTCTCTTCCCCCCCCCCCCCCCCCCGTTTTCTTTTGTTGTACCTGTCTTTCATT